CTGGGTGCAGTGTGACAGCGATGTGAGTGTTATACACCTGATGATGGCCGTCTGAGGCCGAAACATGAAGTGTAGGGAGCAAGATCAAAGACACAAAATATATTGTTTGCACTTGAGACGGAGTTTTTATCATTATATCATTTATCGTATGGAGTGCAACAGGATGCTTAAATATAATAGTGAAATAGAAGGTAAAATTACATGTTTGATTGGTGGGCAAAATATAAATGTTCCGCTTTAGGTAATTATATTGTAATTATTCCTAAATAATAAATAGAATTAAATTTCCTTGTATCAAAATCTAATATAATTTCTATTTTGAAGTGCGGCCCTGGACTATTATTAATAGGGCTGAGGTGGCCCTCTGTACAAGTAGAGTTTTACATGCCTGGCTTGGGCTATGGCGCGGCCCTTGTGGTCTAGTAACTATACCGACTAAGCTAACCGGGCTCCAGTGTGTCTTGCTGATGAAAGAGGAATAATCAGCGAGAGAATATGACAAACGTGTGACTGAAGTGAAAGTAGATAGGCCTATATTAACATAAGTTAGTGGAGTTCGCATTATGCACCGTACATTGATTTCCATTTATTCGAAAGGAACAGCGTCGCCGATAATTGTGAATTGTGGAGGTACGCGATCAAAATAGTGGAAAGAAATCTTAGGAGTAGGCAAATTATTTGCAGTTCTTTTTACAGTCACACATTTTACAGACTCTTTCTTAATTCGTTGTGGATTTTAAGCTGTTTAGTTTACCATAAAATTTTCAATTATTAGCATGGAGATTTTATAGATATATTTCCAACTTCGAAATTTAGGGTAACGGCAAATCATCCGCTCTGCTGGCTGATTCGTATTTTCCTTTAGGTCTGTCAGTACAAGAGCAAGGCTGCCTGGTTTTTAGGCTATTTCTTCTTGAAGTTGCTTTATTTCATCTACCGAAGGCTGTTAATTTGAGCTGTTAATATTTCGTTTGTCTCACATCTTTTACCTGTAACCCGTCAGGCAGAATTGTGACATTCAACTCGAGTTCATCTGAAAGTCGAAAGCTTGTGAGAGAATAAGAAGAATAAGAAGAGGAACTTTCAGCATCGATTGTGGATCCAAGAGGAAATATCGGAGACTGACAAAAATATTGTAACAAATTTGTTTAAAGCGTTCCTAGGCAACGGCTCAGTAAACGCGGTCAACGTACAACAATGGGAGCTGTGTCTTAGTGGACGAATTTTATTACGCGTTGCTAGGCAACAGCGCACCAATGAAGACGCTGGCTAGGAATCACGTGACTTGTTCACTGTGTTGTCTTCCTTATGCAACAGTAGAAATGTGATTTCTGCGCGTGGTCCTTGCCGAGGCTTCATAACGAGAATAAACCAGCATTTCAGTTCAAATGAAGGGTCGTTCTTCCATCTCTGTCGGTTTCTTGAAGAACAGAACTGTGTTGTGGCAACTGAGACTTAAGATTTTCTTCTGCTTGGTTTAATAAGGCATTATGAACATTAGAACCCTCCGTCATAATTCTATTTAAGAAATATTCCATTGAAACCCGTGTGGAGGCGGGGCCCATTACCTCCACCGTGACCCTGCGAGTACTAGGAGGCGGCAAAAAAGGGAAGTCTCAAATCTGAGACAGTAAAATATGGTCACGAGTTCCAAGGCACTCAGACCCGAGAAAGACTGCGCTGGTAAGGACCAGCAGCATGTACAAAAGACAGATCCGTCCTCTCGTCAGAGAGGACACCCCACAAAAACAAAACCGTAACTGTCAAACAGTAATAAATATGTGGTCATGAGCCCCAGATGGGGTTCGACACCAAGACTTACTGACTGACTGACCGTCATTCGCAATGTGATTTTGACAGTTCAGTTGAGTTCTCGATAGGAGACAGCCACGGGAAGTTCGTGGAAGATCTGTGAAGGCTTAACGTGTGAATTGAAGACTTTGTGTGTTATAATTACAGTAATCTTGAAAGTGTTATAATTATTTGTATTTATAACTAGTGAAGATCAAATATACCGATTCACCAATCCAAACCCGCGTCATAACCACTCAAACACGTGACAATAAGCATCATTTTTCTCAATTGTCCTCATGTCTGGCCATGAAATTATGACTTCCGAAGCTAGTTTTATTGAGGTTTCTGAAAGTATAAAATACACGCATAATTTGAAAAAATAAACAGTGATTTTCCAGCAGGAAACACGTCAAACTGGATCTAAGTGTTCATCATCTTCTCTTATCGTGCGAAAGAAATTGTGACCTTGTTGCCCCACCATAGGAAAATTTCTTTCTTTTAATGTAAATGTTATAGCAAAATTTGCGACATAATTTTCATTGCACTTAAGATTTGTGAACTTATGCTGTAGAGCTAAAATAATTATCTCTTGTTTGGACAAATCTGTAAGCACTCAAAGCCATACATAAGCTTAAACATAGTCTAGGCGATATATCTGCTTTTATTGCATCCGGAAATTTCTTTAAGCTCCCGTAAGAGTCACTGGTATTTTTGTTAAATGCTGAGCACTCTTTATGAACATCTGATTGTTTTGTAACTTTGCAATCTCTCACTCACTCACTCATGGAGCTGAGTCCATCTTGAGAAGCTGCCAATTCTGCAGCTACTCAAGGATTTCCCAGAATTTTATGGAACCCGAAGGTTCATTGCCGTGTTCACAAGAGCCCTCCACTTGTCCATGTTCTGAGCAAGATCAATCCAATCCATACCATCACATTCTATCTCTCTAAGTTCCATTTTACTGTTGTCCAACCGCCTACGTCTTGGTCTCCCCAGTGGTCTCTTACCTTCTGGCTTTCCCACTAATATCTTATATGCTTTCCGCTTGGTGCACATTCCTGCTTCATGCCCTGCCCATCTCATCCTCCTTACTTGATCATTCTAATTATACTTGGAGGATAGTACAGGTTATGAAGCTCCTCTTTATGCAGTTTTCTCCAACCGCCTGACATTTCATTTCTCTTCGGTCCAAATATTATCCTCAGCACCCTGTTCTCAAATACCCTCAGTCTGTGTTCCCCCCTTAATGTCATAGACAAAGTTTCACATCAACACAGAACTACAGGAAAAAATATAGTTTTGTATGTTCTAATTTTTATGTTTTTAGACAGCTGTTTCTCTAAATGAGTTTGAGAAAGATAGTGACACGCCAAATTAATGTTTCTGAGGAAATTACGAGCGGACTAAAGGCAACCAAAATTTATCTCTTTTAAGTTCATAAAATATTGTCATTTCGTCTCATATATGAAACAGTATATATAATAAAGTAGTACTATATAAATTAAAATGTATTTTTAAGAAATATGATATGTAGATGTGGATTGTATTCATCTGGTTCGGCTACGTGACCCTCTGCTTACGATAATGGAACTTCGGGTTCCGTAGGGGAATTTCTTTATCTTCTGACTGATTCTGTTCCTTGGATTAAGTTACAGCGTTTTTATTGGGATTTTATATTGCTAAGAAATTGCAGCGAGTTATTGGTTAGCCCTGCAGACGGTGAATGTGACGTCATATTAATGAGCTGTTACCTGACACGAAGAACACGACTCCCACACTTACTTACTTACTTACTTAATCCGTTCCTCTTATACCTTCCGGTGTCGAAGTTGTTCTTTTTACATTTTGGCCATTTTACATTCGGTAGGACTCCTTGGACGGGTGATCAGCTCGTCGCAAGGCCTCTAACTTAACACAGGACAATACAAACACAAAATAAACACATACACATACGAAACACCCATGCCTTGTGTGGGATTCGAACCCACGATCCATGCTTCCGAACGAGCGAAGACAGTACATGCCTTAGCCCGCTCGACTACTGTGACCGGCCAACTCCCACGTGAAAACAAATACAATTTATTTTATTGTTTCTCTGTTTAACAACTCTTTTAATTTGTTAAAATTATACAGTAGTGAATTACAGAGTGATTAGGGAATACATTATTTTACAGGTCCTGAAATGAGCTGTCGTAACTTAGTTTATTTTCCCAGTATTTTATACGTGAGACAGATGAGTACTACAAGTAAGCTTAGGTCTACTAGCCGATAATCGAACCCGGGATACACCGGATCGAAGAATGCCTCTTACAAGTAACAGCTCCATATTGTGTTCGGTAAGCTACGTAAGAGGACAAATAAATTTAGCTGCATTCCCTAAAGAAATGGCCATAAACTGATAACATTGTGTATTAGGGTTCGGATGAGTAAAGTGAAGAGACATTTGGGTTACTTTCAGTTAGAAATGGATTTGTGGTGAGGTGTGATTGCGTGATTCCTAGGGTCAATTGTTGGGTTCAGAGCCGTTCTCCACAGCATCCTCCTCTCTCATCCTCTTTCCATTCATCTATACCTCTTTCCTCTGTCCCTTTCATTCAGCTCTCTCTCTCTCCCTCTTTGTCTCACTCACCAACTTGGCTGCCAGGGTGTGAAGCGAATATCGACTAGCAGCTTCCTCGTGTTTCGTCGGGAATGTTCGGGTTTCGAATTTCGGAGCGCTAGTACTGCACACACATGGTTTGGTATTGGTTCCAGGGCTGGAGCTAAGCCCTCGGCTGCTGTGGACTCTGAGGGGTGAGCGGTGGGGTTTGGGTCCAGAGAGAGAGAGGGAGGAAGGTATCGCATGATGAGGGGGGATGCTGAACGGAAGTGCGGGTGGGGAGGGTGCGCAAGAGATGCTGTAGTGGGTTGGTACGGTGGGAGCTGCTTTTGCTGCTGGCTTCTCCCGTACCAAAACTAGTGCTGATTCTGCCCCGACACTGTCAGTAGCGCATATAGATACAACAAACCCCGAGTTACACCGCAGTTGTAGTCTCAACAGTGATGAGGATTTCGTGATATGCATTTGCAATAAATTTGGGACTCGTAACAATAGTCTGAAATATTTATCCGTATAATCAATCGAGTCGTTTATAAGTTACAAAGTGTTGTGTAATCGGGGTGTCCTGTAATCAACTATAGTAACAGAAAGTTGTTTTCGCTGACAGCGGGGATGCGAGGAATAGACCTGGCGGCCAGGGGCAGCCTCATGAGCCGGCTATTTCTCCGGGCATACCGCGCGCTGCACCGGCATGTGGTGAAGCAGTGACCTCCTCTAGGGGAAGGAAGGCGATGCGCCCAGCGGTGAGCACACCGTAAGTACAGCCCCACAGTGGGTCTCTCATACATTACATTTTCTCCATGTGTGGCACACCAACATTCAGATATCAAAGTTCAACCAAAACGTCAGACCTATTTTATTTTTTTTATATATTCATGAAATCTGTGTTAAATGTCAAGGTTCGGTGAAGCATTTAAAATGAGTAACACAGTTCGAACGAATTAATGTACTAAGTTAAGACATTGACCATGACTTTCATGGTACACCGATGTAGCGAAATATTGTACCTTGTAATAAAATATTTACATTTTAAAATAAATATTTATTTAAGCACGTATATATATAAATGCCGTGTGAGACACATTGCAGACAACGCAGTAGCATAATCACAACAGCGCATTCGAAATGTCTCGTTTCAAATATCGTTTGCACCATTCCATATAATCCTGTGGGTGTTGCGTCTAGTCCAATAAATTTTTAAGACAATTGCGTTACGGTACGGCTACTGTGTAAAGTTTTTCTTCGAAACTGTGTCTTTCATATAAGACATAGTCCGTAGTCGCTACTCCGTTCCCATGAACGTGTGTGTAAAAATAATATTCTGGTATAATTCACCAGAAATCATTCCGGATTACGTAAATTCCGAAGTAATATAGTGGCCTATTTCGATTCACGTCATTTTCATCTGCGATTCAGTTTCATTATTCATTAAATAAGATTACGTATTTTTGGAACGTTCCTTCTGTCAAATCTAAAATAAAATAATTTTATCAAGACACGGTTCGTAATTGAAACACGAAATAAAATTATATCTAACGAATAATATAACGGTCATGTTAATTGTCAATTTATGCATTCAGTATACCAATCAAATTAGCCTTCATTACATTTTTATTAATTACTCCGATAAACATCAAGTTACAGTTAAATCAGACCTTAATCAGACACTAGCCTCTCATTGTTTCCTTACGCTGTAACGTGACGTCAGTACCTTGAGGATGTGATGTCTCTACCAGAGCACTATTTCATGACGGTGTGTAGGATCACTGGATGACAAGTTCCATGTATTCTTAACCTCTTACTAGACAGAGCTGAGTGGTTGGTTTTTGCCTAACCTCAGGAAGAGAGGCCCATGATAACCTCTGGACACGAAGCTGGTTGGAACTGAGGTGCATCGAAGGTTTGAACGTTTTTACTGAAACTGAAAAATAAGGAGGCAACAAATAACAAACTTCATGGAGCAGAGCCCTTATTGAGAAGCCGCCAGTTGTGCAGCTACTAAGTAATTTCCTACCATTTAATGGAACCCGAAGGTTCATTATCGTGTTCTCAAGAACCATCCATTCGTCCCTGTCCTGAGCCAAATCAGTCCAATCCATACCATCCCGTACTATCTCTCTAAGATACATTTTAATATTATCCACCCACCTACGTCTAGGTCTTTCTAGCGGCTTCTTTCCTTCAGGCTTTCCCACCAACATTCCATATGCTTTCCTCTTTCCCCCCGTACGTGCTACATGCCGCGTCCATCACATCCTCCTTGACTTGATCATTCTGATTATACTTGGAAAAGAGTACAAGTTATGAAGCTCTTCATTCTTTAGCTTAGGTCGTTTAACCAAAGAATTCGTCCAACCCCGAAGTCCTTTGTGGCGTTTTGCAACAAGTTTATTTTTTAGAGCGAGGAGTTTTTAACCCCACTACCAACCCCCAAGCTGGAGGACCACCCCTTGTCTGCTATCCGCCACTGATTATTCAATATATTCGCAGCTATCCTCCATATCCGCAGGCCGTCTCTTCCGTCCGCAACCTGAGGACGCGCCATAAAGTAAATGTATCCATATGACAGGGTTTCGTTTTTCGGTGTTCTCTTTTATTTGCCCATCTTTGTGAAAATGTTTGAAAACACGTGACTGTGCTGCACTCCGTGGGAGAAGAGCAGTGGCATTCTCTGCATTATTAAACTTCCGTTAAATGTATGTACCAGCGTGTAGCATTCTAATATTGTCAGTAACGCAGGTTTAACCTCTTATGGGAGCATGATAGTCGAGGAGCATGACGAAACGGAGATGTCAGTTGCTTACTGGACTACATATGAAAAAGCAGGTCGCGATCCCCAGTTTGCATTTCCCGGCCGCGCCCGCCCGTTGCTGCCTGCTGCAGAGCCGTGCTCGCTCTTAATGCGGCCCCTAATGAGGGGAGGTCACTAAAACAGGTCAAATTCAGTTTCGTATAAAGAGGACTCTCATTGGATTTCATAAATATACAGACTGGCGTGTTTGTTTGTCTACGGCATCTATGTACTGACTATGTGAACATCGATACCTCAGTCCCTTTCGAACTGATAAAGAGTTACAAAAAATATTGCGTAATTGCTAATGAAGTGCGGGAATTGCGTCAGTATGAAAAACGTAACTATGATGGGATGATAAGCCGTCGAAAAGGTCATGCCAAATGTCTGAAAGATTCATAGTTTCAGAAGTTCATTTTGAAATAAAACGGTCCGGAGGACCTGATCTTCCCCCCCCCCTGGCACTACAGCCCCCGTGGGCCTAGGCCTACCTCCATGAANCCACGAACTTCTGGGTTCACTTCGGTTTTTCTAGATCTTACACATTCGGTAGGACTCCTTGGGCGGGTGATCAGCTCGTCGCAAGGCCTCTACCAGTACAGAAACACAGAAAAACGCACACACACAAACTAAACATCCCATGAATGGGATTCGAACCCAAGATCCCGGTTTCCAAGCGAGCGAAGACAGTACATGCCTTAGACCGCTTGGCTACCTTGGCCGGCCGGACCTGATCTTTACTCGTCGAAAATGATTAAAAACAATAACTTTTAAGTAGCTTGCTTCAAGCCTTCATTGGCAACATGTGTAAAAATTCTATCCCTGTAACAGGCCGTGGAGGCCCATAAGGTTGTGAGATGTTGAGGCTCCCACATCTTCTAGATAATCGGCTCATAGATGGCGGTAAGGTTGTCAGACTTTAGCGACTGCCGCCCT